ATCACTTGTAGGCTGTGAAGTCGGCTACCAATGCGATATCACTGGTTGGCAGTAAAGTCGGCTACCAATGCGATATCACTGGTTGGCAGTAAAGTCGGCTACCAATGCAATATCACTGGTTGGCTGTAAAGTCGGCTACCAATGCGATATCACTGGTTGGCAGTAGATGGCTACCAATGCGATATCACTGGTTGGCAGTAAAGTCTGCTACCACTACCAATGCAATATCACTTGTAGGAAGTAAAGTCAGCTACCAATGCGATATCACTGGTAGGAAGTAAAGTCTGCTACCAATGCGATATCACTGGTTGGCAGTAAAGTCTGCTACCACTACCAATGCGATATCACTTGTAGGAAGTAAAGTCAGCTACCAATGCGATATCACTGGTAGGAAGTAAAGTCTGCTACCAATGCGATATCACTGGTTGGCAGTAAAGTCTGCTACCACTACCAATGCGATATCACTTGTAGGAAGTAAAGTCAACTACCAATGCGATATCACTTGTAGGAAGTAAAGTCAGCTACCAATGCGATATCACTTGTAGGAAGTAAAGTCGGCTACCAATGCAATATCACTTGTAGGAAGTAAAGTCAGCTACCAATGCAATATCACTTGTAGGAAGTAAAGTCAGCTACCAATGCGATATCACTGGTTGGCAATAAAGTCGGCTACCAATGCGATATCACTGGTTGGCAGTAGTCTGCTACCAATGCAATATCACTGGTTGGCTGTAAAGTCGGCTACCACTACCAATGCGATATCACTTGTAGGAAGTAAAGTTGGCTACCAATGCGATATCACTGGTTGGCAATAAAGTCGGCTACCAATGCGATATCACTGGTTGGCTGTAAAGTCGGCTACCAATGCGATAACACTGGTTGGCTGTAAAGTCGGCTACCACTACCAATGCGATATCACTTGTAGGAAGTAAAGTTGGCTACCAATGTGATATCACTGGTTGGCAGTAAAGTTGGCTACCAATGCGATATCACTGGTTGGCAGTAAAGTTGGCTACCAATGTGATATCACTGGTTGGCAGTAAAGTCGGCTACCAATGCGATATCATTGGTTGGCAGTAAAGTCGGTTACCAATGCGATATCATTGGTTGGCAGTAAAGTCGGCTCCTAATGTTACTGGTGAAGTGATTCCTAATTCTTGTTGTAGCGCTGTCATCTCAGCCTGGTCTAAATGTCGTACATCTAACCAATCGGCAATCAATGACGCCGAAAGTGGTGCTGAATCAGGCTTGAAACTGTGGAAAGAGTGACAAAAAAAAAATGTAATTCAGTGAATATACATATATTCTCAGCTTGGAACAAACATAGCATAACTACATGTATTACAACCTTGTCCATTGAGAAGCTGCATTGAATAACAAATGTACATTGTATGAATGGATGGATAATAATATCATTTCTTTGCATGGCGAAAGTTATTAGAAAAGTCCTGAAACATACAATACTAGGCATTTTGTGTGGAAAATACAGGCTACAAAAATCATCAAAATTAATATTCAAGTTCTTCAAATAATACTACATGTAATGTATTAATCTTAATGTTCCTCATAGAATAATATAATTTGAATTGCATAAAATTTCCCAAAAAATATATATATTTGAAGATGATCTGATAAAAATTGTGTGAGGACTTGAAACCACAAGAAGACAGTTTTAAGGGAAATTTAATGAATATCTTGAAAAATATAAATAGAACATGTAACAAACAAATTTGACTAAGACCCCAAACTGATTAATATAATATCCAAGTTTGAAAAAAATTGTTTGGGTTGTTATGACAGTCATAGGCGACGACAACAACAATAACAAAGACTGAATTTTCCCCTCTTATAACTTGCCTTTCATCTACAATCATATGGATTAAATGCACAGTAAACAAGCTTACTCACCTTCGTTTAGCAACTGGTTCTTCCTGGACAACTGGCATTGATGGAACGCCAACCAGTGATTGAGATAATAACTCATCAAAGTCAAATCCTAACCCATACCCACTGCCATCTCCTTTTGGAGTCAGCTGTAGCAGTGGTGGTAATGTATCCTCCATCATAGATCTAGACAGCTGTTTGGTAACCATGGCTACATCTGGAGGAGAGTTGGCTGCTTTTGTATTAAGATCCTGAGGATGTGGTACTTGATTACTGGACTGACTAGTATTATGTTGTCTGGGATACAGATCTGTGTTGCTTGTGAGGACTCCAACATGTAAACTTTCTTGACAATGTTCAGCTGCATCAGTAAACGCTAGACTCTGGGAAAGCTTAGCTTCAATGGCAGCGCTGTATGTTGGTGGGGAGTGAAGATTAGTTGGTGGTGATGGGGTGTCTCGTTCTGTGGGTGTTCTATATTCAACAGTGGACTCACCACCTACATTCAAGGGAAGTGATGTTAGATTGGAAGGAATTGAAGTAACAGAGTTCACCGACACTGATTGTGGATCTACGGAACTTAAAAGCTGTGAGGGTGCCACAGATGAATCGTCAGGTGAGATTGTTGTAGTTTGAGATTCACTCTGAAAACTTCCTAAGAAATCATAATGCAACTGAGAGCCCTGATCCACATTCTTGAGTCCCAACACATCTATTTGTTGGTCCATCCTTTCCTCTTTCGCCTTCATACTAAAAGTTGAGTCGATTGACGACTGGTTTGAAACACTGGTTGCAGTGGTAACCTGCTTATCGAGGGATGGTGAATTTGTGAGTTGACTGCCAGTTGATAATTCTAAAACTTCCGACTGGGGATTAAAAAAAGTATGTTGGGCAATATCAGTTGACTGGTTCTCACTGGTGATAGGCTGGTTAATTGTGGTCACAGAGTGGTTAAGACTAGTTACTGGGAGGTGTATACCAACTTGTCCATTAGATTCCTGAATGTGTAAGGACTCTCTCATATATGAGAGACCGTTTTGTAACATTTTTACTTTCAGGACACTGACTTCCCCAAGTGTTTCATTGTTCTTTGAATGCCCTGTGGTTTTAGATGCCTTTAACTCTTCTAAATCTTTGATGTGGTTTCTAATTGGATGAACAAATGGCTTTGTCGTGGCCTGCATAGTATTCCATCTCTCTAGCAACTTTTTATCACTGTCAGTTAGCAGCAAACCTTCCTCCTCTTCTTTGGCTTTCTTCTTGTCCTTCAATTTTTTTTGTCTTTCTAAAGATTTATGAAGCTTTTGCTTACGCTTTTCCTCTCGTTCTCGTTGTCTAGACAATGCAGTAACTGGCATTTTCCCACCCCCTTTACTCTGGTTGCTGCTGGATGAGACATCTTAAAAGAGAGAGAATAATAAGACTTAGTTATACATGTAGTAAAAATAAACAGTCTCCATTTCAAGTCATAGATTCAGAACCAAGTCTGAAATTATCATTGATGATTATAATAATTTTACACAATAACAATTTTCATTTCATTTTCATAGTTACACTAAAAAGTGTTTCAGTGCAATGAAACAGCAACAAAAAATAATAACTCATTGATATGACTAATAATATCTAATTATTTAAATATTCTTCCATGGGCAAAACAAATAGGAAAAATGAGTTTAATTCATAAATTAATAACTGATCTAATCATTTCAATTTTCTTTCCTTAAATGACTGCTAAAATTATATTTCAAATAAAAATGATATTTAAATAAACTTACAATTTACTTGCTTTGTACATTTTTTGTTGTGTGTAAATAACATATGATCGATATTGACAATTAATTTTCATAATTATGCGAGGCTGGGTTCTGAATTTAAGACTGAATACAAGGTCATAGAAATAAATTTTGATCTGTAGCCAATAAGAGATCGTGTTAAGTTCAAAATTAGCATAAAAACTGTTGCACCATGGGATAAATATTTGCACAATCCAGAAAAGTGATGGAAGCTAAAAAGCTATTTACTTTGCAAACAACGTACACAGTGACACAAGAAGTATTACCTGTTTGACCTTTCTTATTTCTCATCGCAGAGTTCAACAATGCAGCTTTAATAAGAGCCTTTGTATCCATGGAAATAGTTTTCTGCCTTCCAGCCAAATCACCAGGCTTTTCATCATTCTCCTTTGTTTCCATGGATACCAAATCCTTTTGCCCGAGGTTGGTTTTAGGACCCTCTCCAGTGGCACTCACCATGAGTACATCTGTTGTGGGCATATCTAAAGAGTTTTGCTCTTTGGCTGTCATGGTGACTGTTTCCTCCTTATCACATAACAACGAAGCACTTTTCATCACAATATCGCAATTTACCGACCCCACATCTCTAATTCCAGTTTCTATTTTTGGCATGAGCAAATGAGTCTGCGAAGAGATCTCTTCATCCTTCATAACTAGGGAAGCCATCTTAGATGATGTCTCTGGGACTTTGAATACATTGACTTGGGTTCCTTTACCAAGATTTCCAGTTTCCACAGAATCATTGACCTTTTCTTTTTGATCTTTACTGAATTGCAGTAGACTTTGCCACTGTGACTGCAACAAATCACTTGTAGATAAATCTTTCTTATCATCCCCATGTTTATTTGACTCATCCAATGGCACTTTTTTAGCAATGCTTGCATCAGGTTTAGGTGCTGGTTTCAAGAACAGTTCTAACGGTATGCTTCGAGTTTTTTTGGGCTGATGGAATTCTGTGATAAGATCGACAATAGCCTGTTTTATTGAATCTTTGGTCATTACTTGTTTCTCAAAACTAAAATCAAATTTTGGAAAGCATATAGGTTCTGAGTCGGGTGAGTGGTATTCTGATAAATAAGGATGTTTTAATGCTTCCTCCGCAGTTATTCTCAACTTTGGATCAAACATTGTCATTTTTGTCAGAAGATCAAGTGCATCATTATTAGCTTTTGGAATCTTCAATTTCCATGGCAACGGTAATTTATTTCTGTACTTCCTCCTGAAATAGTTCTTAACTTGATCACTAGTTATCATATCTAAGACACAGTCTGGTGGTTGGCCAAGAATGTCTGTGATTAAATCCATCTGATGAACAAAATTCTTTCCTCTGAACAGATGTTTTCGATCTAACATTTCTGCAAAAATGCACCCAACTGACCATATATCAACAGCTTGGCTATAGTCATCTGAGTAACACAATAATTCTGGAGCTCTGTACCACCTTGTCGCTACGTACGTCGTCATGAACACTTTATTTGCTTCATCTGAACTGCTCGTCTGCATCACACCTCGTGCCATCCCAAAATCGCCAATTTTTAAATCACAGTTTTCATTCACAAGTAAGTTGCTGGGTTTTAAGTCACGATGGATGACATTTGCTGAGTGTATGTACTTGAGTCCACGTAAGATCTGGTAAAGGAAATAGCGACAATGTTCATCTGTGAGTGGTTGCTGTGAGTGGATTATTTGATGAAGATCACTTTCCATTAGGTCCAGAACCACATAGACATCTTTGAAAGCTTGCAAAGGATCCGTTGGTTTTAAAATGTCTTTTATAGTTATTACATTATCATGCTTAAAATGTTTCAATATTTTTAACTCTCGATAAGTCCTCTTTGCTGTCACTAACACATCAAATGTATTTGGTATTTTCTTGATAGCTACTTTATCTAATGTTTTCTTGTCAACAGCAGAACACACAACACCATATGCCCCAGAGCCAATGTTTTCTATTGGTGTATATTTGGTATTGTCCAGGTCAAAGCTGACATCCAAGGACCTTTTGGATAAGGCCTGGAGATTTCTCAACATTGCTTCCTGCATTTTTTTTTGCCTCCACCTGGAATTTCAAGGAATTAATGTCAGTGATATCTTGAATTGAGATTCTTACTTACATTCTGGATTGTGACTAGCCCTCGGGTCTAATGTGTTTTTTTTCAACTAAAATGACTTGATCATTATGGCATTTGATTAAATCATTTTAGTTGAATAAAAAAAAAACATTAGACCAGAGAGACTGCTGACAATCACATTCCCTAAAACAAATACACAGATAAATATTATTTGACAATTCATGTATCAGTGATGTAGTTTTGTTTTCAAGTAGGAGGAAAAATTAAAATGTAGGTGATCCTAACAAGACTGAAAAGCCACTAGGTAAGTCTATTTTTTTTTGGTGGTGGTTTGGATTGGCTATTGGCTGATTTCTACATAATTGCATTATATATTACATGACAGTCGGCCTGAGTAGTTACACTACACCACATCCTCTCACGAGGTGATCGTATTATATCTATTAAACAATAAATGAACACAGACATATACATGCTTTGTGTTAAGCACCAGGTATTTGTATCTCCTTCCCCCAGCCTGAGAGGTTTTCTTAACAATGATGTGTTATTACAAAGATATAATTGGAAATGTTGTTGGCATAACGACGGCAATACAGATTTGTACATTCCCACACAATACAGAGGGGAAAGAGGTCAGGCTTCAACACTAAATTAAAAATAAATTTAGAGGTTTTATAATTACATGACAATCACTGTGATAATCACATTGTATTTCTGAGTGTTATACAAGGTTTCATGACACATACATGAATATGGGACAAATACAGAGGATTTTGCAGCAGATTTTGTCATTTTCTTTGGAACTGGATGCCCTGCTAAACATGTGCACTGCATACTGTGAACTACACATATATACAAGTATGCATGCTCTTGGTCAAAGTTTGTGGAACGCTTAATGTGCTCAATTTAAAACTAGCAATGTAATTTTGTTGAACATGACTTTTCGTTTAGTAAATTATTTTAGTAGTTAGTTTCGAACGTGCTAAATTGGTCTGAAACAAAATAAATGTGTTCACACCTGATCTGCAGTTTAGATATACACGCTGTACCTGTGTGATTAATGGAATGTCTGGGTACTGTAGATACAACCTTATAACATTTCAAATGTGATGCAGTAGTTTGCATTGTTTAATTTTAAAACTACCATGTTGCCTATTTGATTGCTCATTCTCAATATACTGTGGAATGCCAGCTAGAATATGTACAAAAATATTCAGTTGTTGATCAGTGGTCATAAAGTACAGTTGTAAAAATAACACCAAATAAATAACAGTAACATAAATAATAGGCCTAACAGTAAAAATATTAGACATGTACCGGTAATCAAATAATAGGTTTACTGTATCCAAAAGCTGCATGTTTCAAGTATGATGATTTGGCTTATCTCCCACCCCAGAGTCACTGTATCACAGATGATACAATAACATCAGTGTGTACATGTATGTTAGCCCTCATTGAGTACTCAAGCAGGTATTGTTATAACTGTGACAATCCCTCAGGCCTAATTTGTTAATTTTTTTTATTGGCGAGAATAAAAACCAAACGTCGGAAGTGTCTGCGAAATGCAGGAATTTGGGCGAGAGTCCTTCGATGAAATGATTTTATTCTCGCGGGAGAATTGACAAATTAAGCCTGGGGGACTTCATGTCGAATGTTCTGCATGCTATCCTCGCAATATTCGGGCACAGTCCCAGTGTAGAGAGGGACTGGTGCATTACACTTGGTCAATTGCTTCCGATCGTGCAACATTCGTTGCATTGTTTTTTTAATACGTGGAGGCATTTTGGATGAAACATTCAAGATGAACTCACAATGAGTTTCCGCCGTGACACGTGAGAAAACATATTTGTATCACAACACAGTCCCTGGTCACGGATATTAGCATCACTGGGTCAAATCTATTGTTTTAAAACCACACCTACGATTCGGATACATAACTCTTACGTAATGAAATTAACACATTTTCAAGACACGACATTGATTGAAAGTCATTAGTGGTCTGTTCAAATTTGCATGATCTCGTCAATAAACCTTTGACATACTGCATGTTAATATTTCCAAAATGTGGATGTCTACTTACTTACCGTTTCAACAAGTAACTCGTGGATTATTACCCTGCTCGAGAATCTAAATTGAGAACGAACAGCTGAAAATATCCATGTTTGAACTATATAAACGCAACTGCTGTGTGGCCGCCATTTTATACCACGGGAAACCTGTGACTAAAAATAGAACCTACCGCATTATGTCACCAAGGACCAATCAAATTCTACTTTTAGTAATTAGCATAAATATGAGCCCTCTTGCCTCGCCATCTTGAAAGTGACAACAGAACAAAGCCGACGAGTGCATGTCTAATTTTATAATTCGATCATCATATTTTATATCCTTTCAGGGCTTTTCTCTGTTATAGTTCAATATACCACGCTTTGATGAACAAACCAACTGGGACCGTTCCATGAAATGATGACTGCTCTACGTGTAGTTGCCGTGTATTTAAAGTACATGTAATTGGACTGTGTGTTCACACAGAGAAAGGGAACGCATTTTTTTGTGGTAGAGGCTGACCCGAAACATGTAATTATTGCTACGGATTGGTAACAGCGCAGCTGGCCGATGATCATCTACGTTAAAATAAGGAACATTAACATGCAGTTACGGCGGTCTGATCGCCGCGTTTAGAACTCTACGACCTGGCAAATTACCCCGATAACACAGGGGATATGGTGCGGTGGATGGAACTGTCAAAACATGAGCTCGGACGGTAACTCGGACACAACCAGTACTAATAGTCCCAGCGGTAGTAGCGAGGCCTCGCATAGTCCTGGCCTAGATTCCCAGAGCAATTTTGGCTTCGACAAAGACGGTACGTTCCCGTCGACCGATGACTTTGAACTGCACTTGACCGATCAGGTACACGCTCAAATCCGCAAGGCTACTCACAAGCTATCTGAGAAGAAACGAAGAAAAGCCATCAACAAAAGGTACGACGAGCTAAAGAAGCTCTTACCTGGCTTATCTAACGGAAACGGCAAAACCGTTCACAGCAAGCAAACAATACTAAAACACGGTGAGTCTTATAAAGCCTTCATATTTTAACCTATATTTTCTGATATATTGTGCTTGTTGTTGGGTGTCTGTTAGACGCTCACATGTTCATGAATTAGGCAACAAAGGATGCACCCAACACAATGTTGAGATACCTATTTGCTTTGTACATGTATCTGATACGTAAGTGGTGTTGATTCAACAAAAATCCAATTTTTTTGCACACAAGTTTGTCTACATCAGTTATACTATTTGTATGTTCAGACAGACACTGATAAACAGTCAATGTTTTTACCCAAGTGTTCTAACTACAGCTGACGTCGATCCAACAGGTGGCTTCAAACTATAGACGAAAATAACACACAGTCTGACCACTTCAGACTGAACACATTATATGAATAGACTTATGTCCTGGAAAATACAACATGTTTAATGGGACTTGGTAATGCACAAAATCAATGGATTTATTAACAAAAAGACTCCAATAATAACTTGATTAGTGTCCATTAGTTGCCATGTCAATGGCAAATGAGGAACTAATAAAAGCAACTTGCTTGACTCTGAATTTGTGGCATAAGTGAAATATTGTTAGAGTCCACCTATATATAATAGGGTCATATTAGTTTTTACATCAGAATTTTATTTACATGAGGTAGTTGGTGTTTAAAACATGGTATTCCAAGCCTTACACGCCAACTACTAGTATGTATCTTATTATGGCAACCGGAATGTGGAATATTCACTTCCTGTTAAATATTGACCTGTACATCGTCATGTATCACAAAAATGGACCAACATGCTCAGCAACAACTTGTTGACATCAATTGCAAGATTAATTAATTAAAATCAAAAAATTATAAAATATTTATGAAACATCTACATGTGAAAAACCACATATCCAAAGAAGATGTTTCTATTGGCTAAAGAAAGCCAGTTCGTAATGCCTATTACCCATGAGTCTTTGCAGGTTTTCTTCAGTCAGAAAATTTCTCTGGAGTCGTATGACATGGAAGTGTTAGTTACTTTTGCAAAATTTATTTTTCATAAGTGCCATAAAGTGCCTAAATCGTGAATATTTCTAGCAGTAAAAATGAAATAGCTTAAAGTATAACACAAACTCATGCCTTCAGGAAATCTTACAGAATCTACTCTGTTTTGGTTTTCATTTTTTTCTTAAACACACTTTATAGTATTTTTTTTTTTTGGCCATGGTTATAAATTAAATAGTTATAAAAAAGAAAGCACAAATTGTCACAAACATTCATTTCACTGATGTCATGTCAGTTTCTTTTGTGATGTCATCAATTGTTTCTTGACATGTCTTGGTCAATTTTACCCCCCACCCTGGTATAATTTAAAATTTAATATGAACATCATAATTGGTACAAAGACTAGACATAATTGTATTCATATGTACATTTGTTTCAACATGTCATCAATTTTTCTGACGTCTCTGGTCCATTTTTATTCAAAATGTTTTTTGTGGTTTGATTCAAAATTGGTGAATCCTACACATTTCCAAAAAAGCAAAACATAACAATGTGAATAATTCTTTTGATCAGTAATGGTGTCTAGTGTCTACATGTATGTAAGTTTCCCCTCTAATATTTGACATTTTATATATAATAAATCTTTCCAGTGTTATATTGTAAAATGAAATTAAACATTTTCATTTTATTTGTGATGTTTAAGGCCATGTATTTCTTTTTCAAAGACAGGGACTGTGATATTTATGTCTTGTTTATTGTCTTCATAATCTATTTATTTTATTATTATTTTCTCTGCCGAAAATAATATTGAAATGGATCTAAATATAAGAAATGTGTTTTGATATATAGCTTTTTAATCATCCGCTAGCTTCCTAGAAGTATATCCAACTTGGCACAAACTTTGAACACAGAAGACATTTATGCCTTAATAAACAGTATATAGGCTTTGGCAGTGTAAGCCCCCGTGGTTCTGTCTACTAACCTTTGAGTGCCAAATTATTTTACTGCTCAAAATACTGTTACATTTGGTAAATTTTTACTGAATTTAATCTAAATATTAAAAAATGTGACATTGCTTCTAGTTTTTGATCAAAAAAGTTGAAATTTTTGTCACATTTTCTGTGGGAAAAAGCAAACTACAATGGACTATTTTCTAGATGTGTTTGAAGTTAGTGCTCAT